GGGTCCTTTGTTATTCTTGCTTTACGTTAATGACCTACCTTCAGTTGTCCCCGATGTTAGTTTGTATGCGGATGGCACTGGCCTTATCTGTTCTGATTCCTCCCCTGCACAATTACTCCTTACCATGCAGCATCGCATCAACAGCACTGTCATGTGGATGCAAACGTGGAAACTCCAGCCCAATTTAGACAAGACAGAAGCCATGTCTATTTCTTCATCCCCTCCTGATCAACCATTCTTCCCTGACTCGACTATGCCTATCCGTGTTGTTACTCAGCACAAACATCTAGGTGTGATGTTTGACTGCAAACTCTCTTGGGCTGCACATGTCAACTGTGTATGCAAGCGAACCAGTTCAGCCTTAGGGGTACTACAATCACATTGCACTCATTTGCCCATCCAGTGTAAACTATTATTTTATCAGTGCTATATTCTCCCTATATTCGACTATTGCGATACCGCTTGGTGTGGCCTTTCTGACACAACTCTGAGCCAATTAGAAGTCCACCATAGATTTATACTTAAAATTCTTTACAACAAGGATCGATGTTTTCCTTCGGATGCCCTTTATCGACTTGCACACACTTCTCCTCTCTCCGTTCGTCATAAGCACCATCTCTGTACACTGATATTTCTTCATAAAACCCCTTCACACATGATGAAGTACAATTGGTTTTCGACAAGCTCAACCCGTAACGCGCTCACCCTGCCTCTTGTTAAGTCAGCCCAGTATCTAAAGTCCCCTTTGTTTTCCGGCTACTCTCATTGGTTATCATTACCATACGGTCTGAAAACTTGTTCTTCTATTGGTCAGTTTAAAGATCTACTATCACAACTGAACTAGACGCAATAATTATCATCGAAGAACATTCTCGAATACCTGGGTGATGCACGAATTTTGATAGTGCTCACTTCCGTTAATCGTTTTTCTTTGTAATTTTCCATTCATTTTCTGCTTTAATTCATATTTGCTTTGTTTTCCTAGCTTACTATTGCCGTGGCTGGCTCAACGCCCTTGTCTCAGGGGATTCTGTCCCTGCACTAGCTATGCTTGTCACATGCTATGAGATTGTGTCTAATAATAATAATAATAATAATAATAATAATAATATTGCGGCCAGCTGTATATATGTATGTGGCCAGCTGTGTTTGCTGGTACGGTACGGTACGGGACAGATACGGGATAGCGCCAGGCGTGACACAAACAAACAAACAAACACCAATTTAAAGCTGTGTGGACCCTGGCTAGCGCCAGACGTTACTGAAGTAACGTCTTCTGCATAGCTACGGGAACGAGAGAGCTTGGAAGCTCAGGGCCCTGCGCTATGCTTTGTTGCCTAGCTCATCGTGCATGTTGTTAGAACTGATGGAAATGCTTTTTCCTTTTATTAGCTACATCATTGTATTGCAAAAACGTTTCAATGAGTTACTGAAGTAACGTCTTCTGCATAGCTATGGGACCGGCGCTGACTCTGCCGATCACGGGCGTTCTGGAGTCGACGGGATGTCGGTCCTGACGTTTCCTGGCCCCCGGCGCTGACTCTGCCGATCACGGGCGTTCTTCTTCTTCTTATTATCATACTGACGGCAACTAACATCCATTCTGATTGCATTTACTCGTCTCCCTACTTCGTATTTCTTTCCAGAAAATCTCACCATACAGCAGGGAGTCGTTTACATAATATGACTCCCTGCTATACATCTACACGACTGTATATATGGGCCACAACCAGCTAAAACATGTCTTAGGGTGAAAATTTTCAAATTTTGTTTTCCTCCAGAAAACAGTTCTTGGGACCTTACTTGACCTCTTGAAGATGATACAGGGCAGAAAAGTAGTCTACAAGTGCCCCAAACACCGCTTTCAAAATATGTACTTTGAAATAGAAAATGACAGTTTTCGCACAGTCTGACACAAAGAGACAAACTATTACTTAGTGGCTTTTGTGGCGGAGCACAATACAACGGAACTAAAGTTGTTGACACCGACTTGAGCATGTCAACGACATCAGTTCAAAGGCATGGCCCAAGTTCTTCCTGGAAAGCAACACGATGCGCTGGGCGGCGTTGCACTTGCATACTCTTTCGATTCTGGCAGTGACACTTTCGATCGTCGCCTGCGTTTCCGAGACTGCGTCAGACGCCTCATGAGAACTGAACGCAAGTAACGTCGTAAGGCAGCCGGTTCGCCGCCTAAATGATTATGTACTAGCCCACAACTTGTGCCTCTTCGCTACTGGAGACAACGGGGACTATTCAGCTTCGCTGTCGACATCAACATCAACGAGATCCCAACAAATTGTCAGCGTCGCTCTGCAGACCCACCGCCACGGACTTGCAGACACCTGAACAAACCTGGGCCATGCACAGCGATCGTCTGGCCCTGCGAGCTGCTCTAGTACCACTAGTTGCTCGCCAGCTACTTGAAGTAGAACGCCAAACAAGTGTTTGAACAAAATTTGAGAAGATGTCCCACATCATGAACATTTTGAATGAAGTGCAGAGTGAACGCGCTCCAAAAAAACATTTTTTTCATTTCGTCATTTCCCAACTTTTTTACGAAACCTCAAAGACATGTTTTAGCTGATCGCGGCCCATATAATTATTATGCTATCGGCCTACATACCATTCCCGGGCTGGTCGACAGGCGGCCCAACCAGCCTGCTAGTGGGATCTCGGCCTCGCACACAAATCCACACAAAATGTTACTGCACTGAATGCATTCCCCCGATACACTTCGCATATATACTCATTCTCTTGATGATACCGTACTCTTGATGGTACGGGACAGGTACGGGATAGCGCCAGGCATGTCGATGGCACAAACAAATAAAAATATTGTGGCCAGCTGTCTTTCCTGGTACGGTACGGCACGGGAGAGATACGGGATAGCGCCAGGCGTGACACAAACACACAAACAAACAAACACCAAATTAAAGCTGTGTGGACCCTGGCTAGCGCCAAACGTTACTGAAGTAACGTCTTCTGCATAGCTACGGGAATTAAAGTGTATTTTATGGATTCATGGGGTGCCTGAGAAAAAAAGTGGTACGGTCAATACCGTACTGTTGCCCAAGTCACCCAGCATACATGCCAACCCTCCCGTTCCTGGGGAAAATCCCGGAAAAAACAACAATGCTCCCGTGATCCCGGGGATTTCAAGCAGACTCCCGGAAACGTCCTATTTCTGTCCGGTCCAGGTGACTCCAATGTCTCGCACGGCACTTTCAAAACCTTACCAGCCTGCAGGATCTGCACCGACAGGCACGCTACAGTCCATTCATTGGAAACTGGCATCCTAACTTTTTCGTGTCTCCCACACATAGTTGTAGATATCGTGAAACCAACTGTACATCCTGCATTGTGTGACCCGTGCAATTACTCCTTGCCACATTTGAGGCCAGAAAAGTCCAAGAACAGGGAAATACAAGTTCGGCCAGGTTTTACAAAATTGGGACAGGTATGCCATGGCAAAATGTATGGAGAAGCAAATCCCAAACCCAGATGTTTGAGATTTAAAGTGGGTTTTGATCCTCAATTCGGCCCAAATCGAGCCAGCGGGACAGTTTCCGATGTATGGACTGTAGGCGCCCGCCGACTGATCGATCTGCGCTGCTAGTCAAGTTCTCTTTTCTTTTTCTTTAAAAACCTTATTTTGTTGGTTTTTGTTTTGCTTTTTCTTCAGTTGTGTGAGGCCAGTGATACCATGTTCTGTGAGTGCCCGTATAAGATACTTATTCAACTGCAGGGTCCAAACTCACGGTCCTGTACGCAGAGGCCAGAATCCTGCCCGGAGAGAACATTTTTCTGGCGGGAAAAGCTCTTTTTCACGATTTATTTTGTGCAATCCAGGGATATTGAGAGAATTCCAGGCCAGATTCTGCATATCTTGTCAAGGGATTAAGAATTTTGTGGCCCAGTTGGTCAGTGCGACCCAGCACAACTTGGCCACCCAACAGAAACCACCAATTACAGGTCACTCAGCACAAACCACCAATTACAGGCCACCCAGCACAATTAAGCCAACAATCACAAGCCACCCATCACAAGCCAACCTTGCAAGCCACCCATCACAAGCCACCGATCACAAGCCAACCTAGTAACTTGGTGATGGTTGGCTTGTGCTGGGTGGCTTGTGGAAGTTCAGGGGCGTAGCGTAGCCCTTTTCAGCCTGCTCCGGAGGGTCATGTGATGCGACATAGCGTACACAATTCACCCTAAGGCTATTTTCATTTTTGCAGCCAAGGATACTGGCTCAGCCAGCACATTTTACTTGGAATTTCTGCGGTAACCTGCACGTGAGAAAATTCAATGAGTTTGATTCAGCAGTCCATACATCATTCTCCTTTGTTCTTCCATGTACTATCGGCCTCTTCTTACAAACTTTCGCTGGAGGCTCCGACATCTGGTCTTGCAAACAAACATGCTTCTATATTCCTCGAATGGTAGGGATCAGCAAGTTGGACCAAAAACGCACAGTCCAGCCGTTTCACACGTTTCGCGGACATGGTGCGGCAAACTCTAGCTGCTTTGTTTGCGAAATTTGCGATACAGCGCTACGCGCCTGAAGTTGTGCATAAAAAATCGGAAAAGACCGAAAATTAGGGATTCACTAGCCAGAAAAAGCTATTTCAAATAGCTTTGTGGCATAGACCAGGCTGAATTGTGGCGGTGAATTTTTTAGCCTTGCAAGCTGTTGAATGGTGCAACTCCAGCACAAGTTGCTATGGCTTCAAAGGTGAAGTTCAACGGCGCATGTGTATACGTGTGTGTGTGTGAGGGGAATGGGGGGGGGGGGGGGGAGGGGGTGCGAGTGTGCCACGGTGCACGCATGGGTTTCACAGTTGCACAGCGTTGCTGTATCAGTTGTACGGCGGGTGGGGGGGGGGGGGGTGATTTCGTAGCGAATAAGCCACCTCTTCAGTCAAGTGTGCTGAACACCCGCTAAGTTCTAGTCACCGCTGCATACATACTGTACATGTACAATGTCCATCACTTACCTTGCATTGCAAGGGGCGCGAACGGAGCCGGTAATGCAGGCGGGAGCGCAGGCTGACCTGCTTGACCAACCATGTTGACGTTGACGGCCGCGTTGGGTACAGCTTGCCCTGCCAGAATGCCATTGTTGTTGTTATGCTGGCCTACTCCACCAGCTACCGGTACTAGGCGAAGTGTCACTATGTTATTGTTCATCTTCTTGCGCTCTTTCTCCGGCTGAAACCAAAGACCTGCTAGATCTACACGTACTCTCCGGTTATTGGTTTTGTTCAGCCACGGGAGATCGAGAAGGTGAACGGTGCGTGAGCAACTTCTGCCCGAGCAGGAAATACACCGGTTGTTCCACGAACAGAACTGGAGCCCTTCTTTTTAGCTTGCTTGTTTGCGCTGCTGCATTCGCCCAGTGTTTGGGTGCGCGGCGAGCGATAGGTAGACTGCTCCGGACGCGTTATGTAACAAAGACTCTTGCCTCTTGGCCTTGGGCTGCTGCTGTTAGCTGTTGCTGCCGGAGGACAAGACGGTTTGGGGAGCGGAACAGACCTCTCTGTTTGACGGTGTCCGTTCTTGAGTCGAAAACTAGTCGACGACGAAGCCGGTTATGCAGCGCATCAAATCTTGTACTCCTTTACATAGTCATTTGCACGTGTGAAAGGGAAGCCGGTTGGCGGTTCGCGGAGTGCGATAATTATCGTGAAGATTCTGTAGTTGACTCACAGTCACACCCACACTCCAAAGTAGACCTCCTGAGTACTACGGCCTACTATTAAGTACTGGTACACCAGGCACGTCGTTACGTACAGGCGCGTACGCAGGGTCACCTCTAGGGGGGTTTCCAACCGAATGACTCGTTTTTAAACCCTGTCTAAAGAGCCCTACAATATATTATACAATGTACCCGGTTAAAACAGCTCCTTTTCGAAAATGTTTTCAATGAGTGATGTGTCGCTTTGTTTTGCTTTAATTGGTGCTTTTCCCCAATGTCATGCAGTCGTATTTATTCAGCTTTTAATTCTTGTGTTGTATTTTGTATTGTATTTTATTATTTTACTTGGGCATTCCCAACAGACCCTAAGGTCTTCTTACAGGTTGCCCAAGATGAATGAAATTGTTAAGTTCCTGGCGAAATGAATTGGGGATATGATTTGTGCGAAGGGATTTGGAAAGCGCATTAAAGCGGTCAGCACCAAGGAATGAAATAGATCTGTATCCAGCTTGAGCTTGCACAATGGGTAAGGAAAGGGAATAATTGACTTGGCCGCGGGTTACTCTGTCTGTGTACATGTACTTGCATGCTGGTACTATTAGTTTAGTCCCACAACCTGCGATAAAATGATCAGCTGTAGCACCTACTCCACTTTTATGTTTATGCAGTATGTATCTATGTCATTCGGATCTTCCCAAGTTGTACATTGTACTGTTGAGATACCGAATTCAAATAAATCAGTACCATGCCATACCATACATGCAGGAAATTTTCAAAAATGATGCATTTTTTCGTGTTCTTTGGATCATAAACTTCAGTTCTACTCACTCAATCTTCATTATCTTAGGCTTCCTGGAAGTGGAAAGGTAGACCTACCAGGGAGAGAATGAGGTCGACCATGATAGCCAGGACTCAGTACAGCCATGTACATATCCAGCTCTATATGCTATAGCGGTAGAGTGCAGCGAAAAAATGCCCAAACTGGGCGAAAGGCCGAAAAACGCGTCCTGCTCCCGCGATTTCGCTTTTCTTGATCGCAGAGTTTCGATTTTTTTGCTGTGTACTCTTGAAAATATCACAAGTGAAGCTCCTGCAAATAATAATGACCAAGTCAGCGGGACAAAAAGTCTCAAATTCTCGATACTCGAGTCGCACTGCGCGCTTTTGAAATTGCGAGATCGCGGCTCAACTTACGAACGATTTATCTCAAGAGAAATTGCTCGCAGCGCGTCGTAAATCGTTTCAACCGACAGCTGAGAGTTTTCTATTCGACCTGGATATCTGGATCGTTGGATTTGAGCGATATTTGACTAAGTTACGATCTGTTGAAGTTTCGCATTCTTGCCAGATCGATCGTGCGCCCTACCAAAATATGCCCAAAAACGTTGCTCGTTTGGAACATTTGGGGGGTTTCCGGGCAACGGGAAACCCCCCCCCCCCCCTGCGTACGCGCCTGACGTAGATCTACGTCCATGGCCCAGCAGACCCAGCACTGCATGACGTCTGTTATGGCCGAGAGTTTGACATACCGACGCGTGGCGTCCAGTACCAGTGCCAGTGGTGATAGATCTACCGCTGAACCTCTTTAGGACGAACACCAAGGGATCGACTTGAACTTTTTGTTCACAATACCGGGAGTTCTCCCAGCGACAACACACTGATTTATCCAATAGAGTAATCAATTCTTGTTCTTCTAAAGCGATCTTTTCAAAGTAACCTCCTTTTCAGTGTTCTTCCTAACGAGGTTTGACTGTAGTCTACGACACCAAAATCCACACTGAGGCAAAGGTGTAAAGGCCAGCCGCAAGGGGTGTGAAGACTATCAACTCCAAGAAAGTGTTACTGAGTCAGCAAAGGCGAGTCGCGAAGCGGGCTTTGACGATTCCTTGCTTTCAACACACCAGGTTCTAGGTTTTGTCGAAACGTGTTGTTGGTTGAGCGCATGTAACAAGGTTGAGACCACCTTGTTCGGAACACAGTGACCTAAGTCCTTACTACAACCTCCGTGGTCGGTAGAGTCCCCGTCTTTGCGACCATCTGAACCGTATGGTTCAGTGAGATAGTCATGAAGGTTATGGTAGCCAGGATGATGACTGTTTCCGAACACGTCACGGTCGGTGGTCTCCACCTTGTAAGTGATGATGCTGTCTACCAACAACAAAGATCGTAGATCTACAACTATTATCAAGAGTAGGGGTGAAACGAAGGTGTCAAAGGTTCGAAGAACCTTCGTTTTCATTTCAATTCAAAAGAAGGTTAGCACACGATTTCTGCACACACATGCACTGATCTTCCTTGTATACAGGAGGTACTGTACTGTAGTTTGTACAGTGCACTAGTTTTGTGTCCACTTGGCTCCCGTAGGTGCCATTGCAAGTGCATAATAGGCCACGGACTGCGATTGAGCATGGCCATTCACGGCCACTGTGTGCAGAAGAAGTCTTGCGCAGTTGGAGCTTCAAACTGCGCAGTGCAAAAGTTATGGGCGTGCCAATTGTGGTGACTGCATAGCAAATATATGCACAGTCATGTACTTTGTAGGGCACATGCACAGAGTGTGCTTCAAGAGGAACTGTGAACTTGTAAAAGAATCCTTCGACACCTTACGGTTTTGATGAAGAAGGTTCGTTTGGCACATTGAGACCTTCGTTTCACCCCTAAATTCAAGAGTATAAATGTTTGGTTGGAGAAGGCTTTTCCTCTCTCTTCGGAGAGAGACAGTTTTTATCAAACAGGCAGACCATCGCTGAGGAATGGACTGCAGCTGGCTCCAGCGCCTCCATTCTCCATTCCAGACTGGCTTCCACGGATGATTTCACGCGGGTGGACAACACTGATGCGATTTGACGCGGGTGGATGTGGACACTGATGCGGATTCGTCATGGAGAGCCTGGAATCATTGCTGAAGGATGACTTTACGTCAGAGCCAGTGGAGCAGGCCAAGGAGTCTGGACCACCACCACCCAGCTCCCCAAAATCACCGAATTCCTCGCAGGTCAGCTTGCCATGTCCTCACTGTTTTGTTTTCTCTGTTTCTTCTTCATTCGTGATTTGGCATCTGTGCATGCTGGTTCTTTTTCCAGTTTCTCCTTTGTTCACCTCCGATTCGCTTCTCATTCTACCTAAGTGTACCCTTCCCCTAGTCCTCTCCTCTCACATCCTCCCTTCACGAGGTGTTTGTCGCCCTGGAAACGGAGCGTCTCTGTAAGTTTGTATCCCTGGTGATGTTTGTGCCTGGAGAGCACTATAATAATTCCGCGCATATAAGCCCATGGGCTTATAGGTGGAACAATGCAGCCTTTTGGTGATAAAATATCGAGTAAAACATGATCATTTTTAGCCCATGGGCCAATATTCGAATTTTGAAGGTTCACGAAAAAGTACAAGTCCATGCTCGTGGTCAGTCTACCATACTCTACTGGTAAACTGCGCTGACCTGCTGTATCATGGTAGGAAGAGTCCATTTTGTGAAAAATTCTACTTGACACGTGAGTTGCATTTGTGTCTGTTTATTAGCCCATGGGCTTATAAACGGAGGTGGCCTTATATCCGGATATAGGCCCATGGGCTTATATGCGCGGAATTACGGTAAGTGGTGCTCTTCAGACACAATCTTCCTCAGCCTACTCAAGCTCAACTGATGAGGGGTGAATTCCCCGAAACACTGTGTATTGAGCAGGGGGTGGTGCTTTCTTGCAGGTTTGCCGAGTCGAAGGTTCGATGGACTTCTCGTGTGCTCTGGATGGCAGTTGTGAGTCAGTCAAGTGTCAAGTAAAGTCGGCGGAATAGCGCGAGCTCCAGTGTGGGGAGCAAACCCTTTCTTACAAATAATAATAATAATAATAATAATAACTATAACCCCCGTCGTACCGTGTACCCTCCGATCCTTCTTGTTAGAATAAACTTGCCCTGAGACAGCTTCCTGTCTGTGATTGGTATTCACTGTTTACCATTATTATTTGCCATGGCGACCCCCGTAAGTCCGTAACTAGCAGGGCAGGCTTGGGCCTTTTTTAAAAAAAAAGAAAAAATCCTCCCAATGTTAGTAGCAAGTACTCTCGTTAGTAGTTAGTACTTAGTTTTAAGACGGTGTCTTATTAGACGGGTTACAGAACTGTTGTTAGGGTCCAGCGGATAATGCCGGCATTATATTCGGCATTATGAGACTATCCGAGCATCAGAGCATTATGGAGCATTAGAAAGGAACAAGACGAGCATTATGTGAGGTTTGAGCAGCATAACGAGTTTCATAGTGGATAATGTCGGGAAATATATGGTTTTTTGGCAACAATCGGCTAAAGCCATGAGGTGCAACGCCACAGTGTATTGTACCGGCGCATGACTTTGTGATTTGTAGACATGCAACACCTTTAGCACTAATGCTACATTGACCTGTTATTGCACCTTCTATATCAGCCATTTTCAATACTTCTCTTCAATCTTCGACTTTCCCTCATCTTTTTAAAATCGCTAATATCACCCCCGTTCTTAAATCCCGGCAGGGTGATCACACCTCTCCGGCCAAGTATCGCCCAGTGTCGCTTACGAGCTTTCTCAGCAAAATGTTCGAACGTCTTGTCCTTGACCAACTGCTGCGGGACTTCGACCTGTACACTTGTCTACACGATCATCAATAATTATTTGGCTTCCGGCCCCAGCGATCAACAGTGCAGGTCATGACCTTGGCTGTAAATGACTGGACGTTGGCTAGAGATGTGGGTCATACAACCGTTGTAGCATTTATTGACTTAAGCAGGGCCTTTGATCGAGTTGTGCACCAGGAATTACGTTTCTTTACTTCGCACAGCTTAGGCATTCATAGTTCTGCCCTGAATTAGGCTGAAATGGTTCGCTTCCTACCTGAACGGCCGGTACCAGCGTGTATGTATAGCCTCTCTTTTTCTCATTATT